GTTAGAAGAAGTCCCAGAAAATTAAAAATTTCAATATGTAGTACATTTTTAAAGTTTCTCAGTGTATTTAGAACTGCTAAATAAAGGTGGGGAGGGGTGTAAGCTGAGGAACAGTTGAATCATCTCAGATGTGGCTTTTGCCAAAACTAGCAGAACACAGATCTCAAACTGTTAGAACTAAAGAAGGACCTTAGAGGGTCCCTCACCACCTTTCAGATGAGGAGACGGAGGCCCAAAGAAGTGACGAGGTGGTGAGGCCAGGAAGGACCCCATCTCCAACCCAGTCTGGCCTTCTGTCTCCCTCCCCCGATAACCACTGCAGCTGTCTCCAGAGGCAGTTGGCTTGGGCCGACTTCCATCTGTCCCCGGGACCTGTCCTTGTCCTTGACCTTCTTGGAGAGAAGGCTCTTCCTACTCCAGGCTCATTCCTCAGTGTGGCCAGGTGTCCATGGTTTCAGGGCACATATCAGTGTATTTCACCATCTTCCATTACTTAGTACTGGAGCCAGAAATTCCAAAGTGGGGCAAGTGGCAACCGTGCCAATAAAAATCAGCTCTGACCTCCCAAGTATGCCCCACTACTAACATGAAGAGGGTTTGAGTGCCAACCCATCTTTCCCTGCAGATACTGGGAATTCATTCTCTGCCTCTCCCTGAGAATTTCTTCTGCTCACTAGTGTCTGTCTTAGAGGAGGGCTTTGGTTCGCAAGCAAGAGGCATTGTTTAAGAATGTGAGATTCAGGGGCCGGTAAGGAATCCTAAGAACTACGCCAGTAGAGGACAGGACAGGTACACGTTAGGAAACAGACTGCATTTCTTTGGGTTTTTCTATGAGGAAAGCTATTTCTCATCCTCACTCCTAAGAAGGTAGCCACGTGCAGGCCAGCAGGTAATAGGAGACTGAGTCTGCGGAGCACCAGTTACTATGTTTGTCTCCCTCCCTCTTTAACAGGCACCTTCCAGACTGTGGCAGGTGCTTTATTCTTACGTAACAATTATAGTCAAAGCTCCTTAACCCAGACCCCGTTCATTTTTTGACCAGTTTAAGAAAATTAGAAATAAAACTTACTGATAAAATAAGCAGATGACAGGGAATTGATTAATACCGTGAGACCACAGGAGGCTGTTTAGCGGCAAGAATATTTTCTAACGTGTTCTATTTCAAGTGCCTGATAATTCAAGTGATTTCTAATTAGCATACACATTCATCACTCATTTACTCAGCAGATCTTTATCAAGCACCTCTGTGTGCCAGACACTGTCCTGGGTACGAGGAGTAGATAAAGCAGTGACGAGAGCATCACAGATCACCCCCTTGGTTAGGAGCGGGAGGCAGGCAGACATGAGACTCAGAGTGTGCCGGGTGGTGAAGGATGGACCTGGGGTTGCAGAAGCTGGGGAGGCTAGGGAGACGTTTCTCACTTAAATAGAGAGCTCTGGTCGAATAAGCAGGTGGCATTTGGGCAGAATCTAAAGAGGTGTGGGAGTAGTTGTGAGGACATGTGTGGGAAGAAAACTGGAAGTCTCTGGGTGAGGAAGCCAGTGTAACTGCAAAGAGAGAAGGCCAGTGGGTAAAAAGTAAATGTTAACAGTGACAATTTCTGGTCCATAGAATATGGTGGTTTTTATTTTCTTCCTTATTTTTGTTGTCCGGGTTTGTTTTGTTTTTGTAATTTCCTAAGTCTTTGAATACGAACTTACATTACACCAATAGCTATATTTAATTTAGTACTTCTCAAAGTCTTGTTACTAAGTTGAGTGTTTTACCTAAAGCAGCTTACAAATAACTTCCTATACCTTTCTTTTGAATTGTTTTGTTAATGGACTTTCTTTTTCCAGACGAAGTTATTTTGCTATTTAAATACTAAAAAATAGAAAGTGATCTGATAACTTATAAATGCAGGAGATGAAAAGAACTCAGAAAAGTCATCTGATTCTTAATCATAAGAGGGAGTCTCACATCCCATTTTCAAAATGAAAATGTAATATTTTTGAAAATTTTTTGGAAAATTTTGAAAAATTCGTATTCACATTACTCAGTATTTTCTTTTTTGTGTATTTTCCATAGAAATGCATAGCTTTATGTTGTGCTTTATTCTTATTACAAGCGTTTTTCTGTTTTTACATTTCTCTGTAGATTTTTTAATGACTGTAAAATATGAAAGTTATGGTGAAATATACTTACTCTTTTCCCTATTGTATGTTTAGTGTGAGACCTGGTTTTCACTAGGAGATGGTATATGTATATGTAAGCACGAGGCAGCGTGTCTACACAGGAGACCAAAGTAAACGTTTGTTGAACATGAATAGATAACACTGAGCTGAGCACCTTGCCCTTAGTGTAAGGGAACAACACAGCAGAAGTCAGTTCTTAGGAGCAAGATTTCTTGGTCAAAGGGAATATGCATATGTTCCCATGGCTCTTGAAATATATTTCATGTATTGCCTTCTAAAGCGGCAGTACCAGTTTCTGAGGTGCACTGGCTTTGTCTTTTCAAACCATTTAGGCACACGGTAGAATAGAGTGCATGTGGTAGCATGTCTTAAAATGTTCTTATTTTCTTTTTCTCGTAAATAGCAAAGCCATCCCAAGAATCCGAACGACAAACACCGTAGCAAAAAGTGCAAAGACCCCAAGCCACGGGTGAAGAAGCTGAAGTACCACCAGTACATTCCACCAGACCAGAAAGGCGAGAAGAACGAGCCGCAGATGGACTCCAACTACGCCCGCCTGCTCCAGCAGCAGCAGCTCTTCCTGCAGCTCCAGATCCTGAGCCAGCAGCAGCAGCACTACAGCTACCAGACCATCCTGCCTGCGCCACTCAAGTACGGGCTGGGCCGGTGCCGGCTTCCTGTGTGGGTTTTACTGCGGGTTTTTGTGAGGATCCATTGGTTACTAAAGGTTGGAAGTTGTGATTTATTTGTGCTCAATGATTATACAGTGTCTGAAGTCAGCATTGGTGACAGTAGCCTCCATTCCAGACCATTTTTTTGTCCACAAAAAGGTTCTGAACTTCTCAAGTTAAGAGATAACTTTTCGGTTACTCATCCGGGAAAGATCCACCTACTGTTTACTTGAATCATATTAGATGCTATGAGAAAAAGTGCAGGAAGTGTAAACCTGGTATAAACAGTTTAAAAAAAAAAAAAGATGAGCATAAAAGCTGGAGTGGTCAAGGAATGCTTTATGCCAGAGGCAGGGTATTTATGTGGGAAGGGGCCTGAAACTTGAGAAGGACCCTTCCAAGCCAAGGGGAATGATCTGAGTGCAAGTACAGAGGAAGTTGGAGTAAGCAACACCCGGTTACTGGATGGTGAGAAAACTGGCTTGAATAAAGAATGTGATTAATTTTTTAAGGGAAGTGGAAGATTGAGCAGAGCCAATGTCTAGAGAAACCTGAAGTAGGGAAAACTTTAACCTTGAAATGGTAGGTGTTTCAGATGGCCAGAGTGACATGGTGAAATCAACATGCAAGAAAGAATAGTTTGACACTGTATTGAAGGAGAGTCTGGAACTAGGAGGACCAGTTAGAAATGCTGCAGTAAAGTAGGTGCAAGAAGACAGAAAGGCAGTGATCATGGAAAGAAAGGAACAGATGACAGACGTTTCAGAAGACAGTAAAAGGTCTTGGTGACCAACAGCTGCGGAGAAGGAACCTGTTTCCAAAGTTTGAGCCCAGCCGAGAGGGACAGAAGAGAGTGAGTTCCAACGATTTCTGAGATTGAACTCCTAGCAGGACATCCATAGCTAATTTTAATTATGCACTAAAGGAAATTTCTAGATACACATCCTCAGTATGCTTTTTCTGGGAAACAGATAAAAATGCCAAGACTGTCCACTCTGTCCTTTGCTCTGTTCACTTTTCAGGAAAAAGGAATATGTAAATTCAGCTCAAGAACAGAAACTCTGGGAAAAGATTCAAAATCTCATTTTAAGGAAAAATACTCTGATTAGTCCACTCAATTTATGATCACATGATCCGTAGAAACTTTAGTTCTGTTTTCTATACATAGGCCAAGCATTCGTCCACAGAGAGCCCCTATTTTCTAGGAGTAGAAAAGGATTAAGACTTGATAAAAAGCTTCTCTGCAAGAAATATCTCCTCAGATGCTAATAATTATCAATTCACTTTTCTCTTTTAAGATCCAAATATCTTGAGGCAGATTAGACCTATCAGTCATTCAGACCTTCCTGTGAAGTACTTAAATCTAAAACATCAGGGCACGGAGATGAAGGAAGAAAGAATTTTTGTAGCATGTTATTATTTTAAGAGCAGGCAGGCCTGAGAGAGCTGTTGCCTTTGGAAGGGACCCAGGGAAGGCCGGAGAACTGGAAGAGTGTCAAAGACAAAGCACCGCTGCTGTGCAGCTGCGTCCAGGACCCAGGGAGGCAGCCCCCGCCGCCACCACCGGGCACCAGTGGTGAGGACAGCAAGGGGCGCACGTGTGTGTGCTGCTCACGGCGACTCCAGGAGTCGTCGGCGTGACTGCCCCATTCCCAGACGAGGAAATTCTTAAACTGAAAATCCCATAAAAGGATTTTTTTGGTGGTATTTATGAAATAGTCTTTTTTGTAGTACAAGAAATTGTCTGTGTGGGGCCAGCTTTGTGGATGGGCAGGAGACACTGAGGTGTGTGACACCTGAACTCTGGCAGTTCTATCTTTCCACTAAGGCTTCAGTTCCCTTCTCCTCCTCAAACATTCCCACCACTAAAGTAATCCAGCCACCTGCCCCGAAAGCATCATCCAAAAAGAGCAGAGAACTCGGAGGAGGAAAGATCACTTGTTTTTGTGTATTACTTCACCACACAAGGGTGGAACATCTGTTTTGTTTCATTTCCAGGACCTAAAAGTGGAGGTGTGTTGTAGCACATTGTTTCTCTTTACTAAAATTCCAATACAAGAAAGTGAACGTGGGAGTTCTGCAGTGCTCCTAGCGGTGGGGTTTTACTGACAGCACAGCCCTTTGGTGTCTTGGAAGGAGCAAGAGCCTGACCAGATGGGGCTTCAGTCCTGGCGTGGCCGCACACTGACGAGGGAAGGGTCCTGGAAGTCTCTGAACTACATAGTGATACATTCCTCAGGCACCTCACCTCCTTTTTTCCTCTGTTGATTTGGGGAAGAAAAAAAATAGATCAACTTATTTCTGTTATTTTTAAAGGAGAATTAAATACTGTACTGTTAATCATAGTAACAAGGAGAGTATTGTAGAATCTCAACCAAAAAGCAGGAATAGAATAATTAAGTCGTGCATTCTCAAGGAAAGGATGCTGTTCACAAGGAGGTAAAAGTCAGTTGGGGTGAATTTTACAATTTTTATTTAATGAAGCACAGACATACATATAGCACATAGACAGAAATGCAGTATATCTATGGTATTAAAATTTCATAGGGAGAGTGATTAGGAAAAATATGTCCAAAAAGGCTTCTTGGGACAATAATGAATATAAGGCTAAGAAATTGTTTTTTTCAATGTTTTAGTAGTTCTAAAACAAGATATAAAAGTTGAAGTTTTAGAAAGGAGAATGGTGAGACATTTTAAAATATCTGTCATTTAATCCAAACTTCAAGAAACTTCATCTCAAATACTCCTAGTATTTAATTTCAACAAAACTCAGGCAGGTTTAAAAAACTCAAATGCTTGTCAAGAGTTAGCTGTTGACAAAGCCAGAAGTGGCTTCAAACACAGGCTTCCTACTGACACAACGTTGTAAACTGACTATACTTCAATTTAAAAAATAAAATAAAATAAATAACGTTTACTAGCTTAACCATTTAAAAAAAAAAAAAAACGACACAGGCTTCTTAAAACCCATTTGAGAAGGCTTATCCAGCCAGGGACCTCACCCCACAGGCACCACCATGATCTCAGATCCTTCAGAATTCAGAGTCTCTCTGGTTTCAGTACCAAAGCTTATATGACACTGAAACCTGAACTGCAATGGAATTGACTGTACATTATTGGCCACCATGTGCACCTTTCCTTAATAGGCAGCAACACCCAGAAAAGAAAGTGCCATTGCTGCCAAGAGTATTACAGTTCGAAGAAGTTGCAGGGGGACCTTGGCTTCAGCACAGAAAGGAGTTTAGGGAAATTAGTACAAAAGTACAATAGATGGACCAACTTTTTTTTAAATTAATTAATTTATTTATTTATTTATTTTAATTGAGTTATAGTCAGTTTACAATGTGTCAATTTCTGGTGTACAGCACAATTTTTCAGTCATACATGAATATACATATATTTATTTTCATATTCTTTTTCATCATGAGCTACTACAAGATCTTGAATGTATTTCCCTGTGCTATACAGTATAAACTTGTTTATTTATTCTATATATGCCTGTCAGTATCTACAAATCTTGAACTACCAGTTTGTCCCTTCCCACTGCACTTCTCCCCTGGCAACCACAAGTTTGTATTCTATGTCTATGAGTCTGTTTCTGTTTTGTATTTAACTTCAT